TATCCAAGCTGTCCAGTTATAAACCTTTCATTACAACTGGGAAGCCAAGATGCCAGTAAACGGTATGGAGGGGTAAAGCAGGGAAAATGAACAACTGTGCATGCTTATACATGTAATTATATTCCCAAGTCTCGGTAATACAACAGGCGGATTGGCTTCTCCTCCCCCCCCTTCCTTGCACAGACACCACCCCTCATTAATTCAATCACCATCCTACACCATGCCTGGCCTGGGGGGCCCACCAAATCACTTGAGAAAATCCCATCATTTTGATGGAAAACATGATCACGGAGCTCCACCAAGGAGACGGGGGAACACCGCAAGGCAGAGTTACCAAAGAAACATACCAAAATGCCAGCCAGCGCCCCTTGCTAAATTAGTCTCCGCGAGGCTTAGCGGTGCTCAGCCAAAGGGGACTCGGGGTCTCTTTGGTGTGCGCACGAACCTGTGAAAAATTTGCTTGGGTGGAAGAGGAGTGTGTGTGGGGGGGGGGAGGGGGCGCGAGGTGGGTGGATTGAGAGACAGAAACACAGCCTCCTTGGGGAGAGGGGAGAGAGAATGAAGGAATTGACCCAGCTAATGGGAACAGATGGCTGTCGGTAGCGGCCTGGAGAAGGGGCCAAGTAAACCCAAGCAGAGACGAGGATGGAAAATGAAAAAAAAAAACATAAATCCACCAGTGAGAGCTGCGTACAGTTATTTGCCTCACTGTTTTTGCCGCCGTATTGGGAGAGGATTAATTGACAGATAGCAATCGGGGAATTTTTTTTTTCCTTTCGCAGGTAGGAGAGACCTTGATTGGAAGGAAACGGACAACCGGCGACCGTATATGTGTAGACTGGGAGATTTTTTTTCATCTGTTTGAATGGAGTGAGTCATCATCGAGGAGGATTTTTTTCATTTAATTAAGAGGCTGGCGACTTTCAACCGGAAAATGCATCACTGAAGGAGTAAAGTGGTCCGCGCTTAAAATATCAACCGTGTTCAAATATGAATTTGGTCGGCAGTTTTGACGGCACTTCACTCCCTTGCGGCCTGTTTGTACACGTACCACAAATCTCTATTACCCTTCCACAGCATAATAACAAAGAAAAAATTCACTTCACCTTGAGGTACAAAATAAGTGTGTGTTAGAAATCCTGAATGAAAGTCAGTAATCAAAGTATGTGTTTTGCAGGAACGATCCTGGGATATACATGAAAAACAGGCCATTTCATTTTAAAACTCAACAAAACTTTAACTTAACTAAAATAGGTACATATATGCATTTTCCACTGCTGGGTTCGTGTGAACAGCAATACCACGGAGGAAAGAATAAGACTAGTCTTCCTTCCTCCATGGTTAATCCTTGAGTTCATTTGACTTTTAATTAGATGATCTGACCTCAGTTCAAGACAATGATTCAGTCCTGTGAAATGCCTTCTGGCAGCACAAACCTTGAATATTTGTGCCGAATGTTACCTCTGTAGTGTGCATGTACCTGTGACACAGTGTTCTGATTAAAATGTGGTCACCCTTGACTGGAAACTCCTAACGGATCTTCATGACCAATTACATGTACATGTATGTGTACCATTAGGCTGACAATGTCACTAGAGAAGGAACCTTTCTTGTGCATGCTAACACTAGAAGGCCAACAAAACTGACCCACAGAGCCATCATGTTTCCAGTTTGTTTATACTGATGAAAGGGGAGCATACAGGCCCAGAAATAGGAGACCCTAATCCCCTGGAAAATAAACAGCCACAGCAATGCAGGCACAATGCAGGCCTACTGTCAAACAAATCCCAACCAACAAAAGGTCTGGAATTAAAGCACCAGAAATAATAAACGCTGTCCAAACTACCAGTTAAAAATAATGGTCATTATAATAATGCACCGGAGAATGGGCACCGGCGCGCAGTGTGCGCTTACAAAAGCTGTAGAATTACTCGTCAGTCAGGGGTGACAAATGTGCCGGAGAACACTATTCCACCCCGACAATGGAGTCCCTTCTAATCTTACACACATGGACATGTGTGAATACTATTTGTATTCTGAGGTTGGTATACTGTACATGTACAGTACAGAGACGTACCGGAGCCTACCTTATATACATTAACAACATGCATACATGTAAATTATGACAACATTTCTGAACTGCGGCAGGAAATGTGCATGTTACAGAACCAACCGTACTCATTTTAAATCCTGTTAGGCACGTCTACAATTTTCAAAAGCCGCCAGAATTAGAAATAAAGGGAAGGAATTTTATGACAAACTAAGGTTATTTTTTCACACTGACAGGGCTGAACAAGGTAATTGAATCTTGTTATTTGAACCACTTAAAATTTATGGCCTGTGATGTTGTTAGCATTGATTCATTAATTATACTTTGGAGACTCTAAATTAAATACTGGTATTACATAACACGCTGGGACACTTGTGTGCACTGCACTGTACAGGGCACAGTATCTAGCCTGATGTGTTGGTTTAATCATTGAGACCGATAAAACATGGCTTGATATCAGTCAATATATTTTGCATGTATGAGGGCTGATAACAGCAACTTGAATATGTCGATGTCAAAATTAATTCAAGTATCCATCCATCAAACATTCCAAGGGGAAAAGAAAGAGCTATTCAGCGGCCATGACGTTGAAGGCTTGCACCCAGGTACACATTTTTGGACAGCAAACTAAATAACGGTCCCAGACACACGCAATAACTGGATTATGCACACACAACACTGTAAAAGGGGAACGTGTTGAAGATCTCGATATTTGAATACCGGTCCCTCAAAACCTCTGGAGGACAGAGAGAGAAAAAAAAAAAGCTGGCGATGTTTGTTTAACCATTGAGATGGGATGTAAACACAGAGGTGTGGTTTTGTAAAGGATGGGGGCCAAGTGTTGGGATGTGTGAAGAACATGACTGTCTGTCCCTCACTCTCCACTACACCCCACATGACCCGTTGAGGTTTTTGGGGGAGGGGATGTCTGGTGTCAAGAGGGTGCCTTGTTAGGTGCTCAAGTTTCATTTACTTTGGAGAATCATGCAGACTGAGTGTGTACAGTGTGAACGAGGGGAACTCTGGCTTCTGCTTAAGTTATCCACGTTAATACATGTACCTTTCTTTTGCCTGCCGGTTTAGACAACGGTGTATTTTACGATTAAATGTTCACAAAATCTGTCTCCATTAACACATATGGATCATTCCATAAATAAGGGGTGCCATTTTTTTTTCATGTCCCTCTCACATCTGACATATGATTTTGAAATTTCCCACTCTCTAATTTCCAAGAGTGATGAATTAAAGCAAATTACCAGCCAAACAAATAGCAACAGTTTGAAATCAATTTCAGTGATATTTCCACGTCAAATCACACAGGTCAGGCATAAAAGGGACACAAAAATAAACGTAACACTTTTGGAGCCTGAATTTTTAGAATGATCCATATACAGGCAAAACAATTCACAAAACATACATGTACTTAAAGCCGGTGAGTTTCAAGTCCAGCACAAATTAATGAATTAACAAAAGATGTTCAAAACAAGGTTCAGATTTTCAAGCAGGCCTAGTTTTCAAAGCAATCTAACTCCCACGCATATGACTTCAGTTTCTCATAGGCTGAGGGAAAAGCTACAGTACAAGCACGGTACCGGTACATTATTGGTTTGCTCAGAGGTTACACTGGTTTACTTGTCTAAAATCTGGGTCAACATTGCTAGTGAAAAAAAATTATTAGCTGCATGTATAAAGCACAACCCCGTACATGTACATGTCACAAACATTCAAAATGCAAAATAACTTAAAGTGTGGATAAACAAACTTCAAATTCAGCACAAAAATCACTGGCCCATGAAAGTGACAATGCCAGTCCTAAGAAGAGAACACGGGTTGAATTTTTTGGGGGGGAGGGAGGGACGGGGAGACTACATCATGAAAATACATCATTCAAGAGCTGCTCACGGCTTGTGAGGTAACCACGTGGGTCCGCGGTGAACTCCCAAGTTTTGCAGACACACATTGTCAAGGGTTGCTATCAAATCAGAGCTTTTCCAAATCACTTAAAAGCCTTCTGAAAATTACAAAGGATGAACAATTTGCATCTGATTCCACTCTGCATCTTCGCATTATTATTTCCATGAAAATCAGTTATTGCAAAGATGTAAAAATGTGAAAAAAGATATCTGAGTCAGAAAAATATTTTAACTTTCAGTAAGACAATACTTTCGAAAATGTTTTCAAACTCTCAACACAACAGGCATGGTCCACAATATGGCAGCAAAGGAAGAGGCATTGGGGTTAAACAAAAATCTTTCCAAAATACATACTGCACATGTACAAAATGGGGAAAAAATGTTGCATCCTGACTCCACTTTACTCATCATACATCATCTCAATAAAAGTCAGTCATTACAGAAATGCTGGAAAGACACGGATTCTGGACTGAGAAACATTTACCGACGTTGTTGGGAAATACTTGGAAAATTCTCTTCACTCCCCATAGACTTTGTACACAACTGCTGAAGTGGAATCAGGGTGCAATATTTTTCCCAAAATGGGGCATAAAGTCAAACAAGACTAAATTACTTTGGAAAATGTTGGAAAATCTGCAGCAAGCCTACCCTAAAACGACTTTTTCATCAGTCAAGTGTTCATGACAACAAATGATATAAACTGTACATGTACTTTCAGTGATTTTAGAGTCAAAAACATAAATTCAAACAAGCCTTAATTTCCTAAAGTCCCATCCATTTCCTAGTTTACTGAATATGTCATTAATCAAAAGTAGTTTCATTATGAATATGATGCTTTAGTGCTTAAAAAGCTTGCTTAGACTTCGAGATCCATCCAAAATCTTCCAACATGTCCAGTGGTACATACGCAAGTGGGCCTATACTTTTTAGCCACGCCAGTGACTGGACTCAGTCATTGACGTTTTACACACAACATTGTGAAGAATTGACCGTTCGTTAAAAGCGGTCCTTCTCTTTCAAAACTACACAAAACTCACCCATGACTCTTGCTACTTCAGCCTTTGTCATGTACAAGTTCATGTGCGCCGATATCCTAGCGCAGAATAGGAGAGTGAGCCAGAGTTCCAAGCGAATTTTCCACCGATCCTTCGCCTCCATCTTCTCTTGTCGGATGACCACACACTCGTTCTCTCATCTAATGTACATGTGCATTCTTTCCCCACTTAAAGGCTCGCAGAGTATGCCATAGGCAAACGCGTTCTTGGTTTGTGTACGTATGTACTGCGTTTGACCTCGTAGAGGTCAAAAATTCAGCAGTGCTGTAGCTATTTCTACGACTGCTCTGTGAACTGTATCCTGCCGGCAGGGGGGAGGGGAGGTAGGGGTGGGGGTTCTTGGGCACGGTTCGAACCGATGAGAATGATAACTACTGTGCGCGATTTAAGCGCGTGGCGGGTGTTGAGTCGCTGATGAGCATCAGGCAGTTGTTTAAGTTTGGATGAGGCTTTTGATTAATTTTGAACTATTTGGCGTTAGATGGGTCACTTTTTTCCACCCAAAAGTTGAAAAATAATTTTTTTTAAAAAGCACAAGCGGTCTCAAAGGTCGTGTTGATTTCTGTGATGCAATTTATTACATGCACCACTTTTAATTTCTTCAAAAGGACAGGTGCAAACTAAACTGCAAGTGTACAGTTTTTTATGTGATGGTGAGAAAAGTTCTGAGTAAGGGTGGATAGCGCCACCAACAGTTAAAAGACATCTCAACCACTTGGTTTCTAAGCATGCGCTTCTGTTGTTTACTCTTAAAATTCATTTGCAAACTCTGTACTTACCTAAAGCTGTGCTCTTGCAACTTACACAACCCTACCAATTTCGTAAAGGGTATGAATTGTATCAATTTTTCCTAAGTGCATCCTCTCCGACATTTATACCTTCTGACATTTTCACGTGAGGAGCATTTTTATATGGGGGGGGGGGGGTTGGGAAGGGAAATGAGATGGGGCTCTCGCCGCTGAATGTAAATATCCTTTCAGTCATGTGCAGGAATTAGCTTTCTGAAGAGTTTCGTTTGAGGCTTTATGTTTCAAGTCATCTTTTAATTCTAAGGCTGGGAAAGGAAGTCCCGTTTAAGGTATGACTTCAAACCCAAGAGAATCTAATGACATGAAACATGAAATAAAAAAAATTAATTTTCAAACCATTAACAAGGGTTCCGTGTGTTTTCACGGAGCCCCCAACATTCAAGAATTTCGGGATACCCACATCAGACTCTGTGCAGTAGACTTTGTGCCACACATGTACCCAAAGGAAACTGATCACTACAACCTGAATTCTTTAAGTATGGTTAACTTCATCGTTTATTCATTCATCATTTAAAAAAGAGAACAAACCTGGTAACTAGGCTTTTGTTAATAAACCTGATAAACAAATCCCTAAGTAAATGAACATTCCAAACAAAAATAAAATATGCATAATTTATAAGGGAAGAGTAACATTATATCAGAAGTTATATACAATATTAGAAAGACCTAAATTAATTAACTGTATATGACAATCGGAACAAATAAAGTTATCGTGTTAGACAAGGATGTCTTTACCAAAGAGAGATTCGAATGAGCCAGTCAGCTTGGATGACCCCAAGTGGCTGAATGGTAGCGTGGCCTGCACTCCAAAGCTGTTTGGAGCAGGTTTGAATCACAACTAAGGCCTGCATTTTTTTTTCCCCCACTTGGCTGATTGACGCCCAGAGAAACAAATGGAACTGACCATGCGCTGTAAATAAAGGCAGCCTCTTGTAGGGTTAACAGAAAATTAATGTTTCAACTCAAATCAGTGAATTAAGAAAATTATCAATTACATACATGAATAATCTAAAGACAAGGATGTTTAAAATGCCACTTCAATTTCTCTTTGCATTTGGGAGAAGACATTCAGCTCCCAAGTTTCACAATAGGAATATAAAAATGTAATAACAAAAAGCAATGTTGAACTTATAGCCAGCGTATGAGCAAATTCAGATGTACAAATAGTAAAATTCCTTACAACCGGGACAAATTTCAAATGTTTATTTCCTATTACCCGGGACAAAAACATCTAATTAGATTTGGGCTATCTCTTTTTCTTAGCAGGTGTACTGGCCTTGGTGGGAATAGTTTAAAAGCGTTTCACAATTGGCATGGTAGTTGTTAAAGTTATTTAAATAACAGGGTTTATTAAAAAAACACAGAGACAAGATTCTGAACTTAAAAGTATAACCGCTTTTTTTCCTTCGTCTTGCTTGTCATTTCCAATCATGCAAACATTCCATTTTTCCCCTGACTTTACAGTTTTTCTTGCAATCTTTATGGATAGTTCTTTCAAATTTTTCTTGGTGAGAGAGGTTGGGCTCATTATGCCTTTTGAAGTTCACAGACGTGGCCCAGTTTGTTTGGCACGGGGTGCTGTGAGAGACTTTCAACAGACCGCTTGGGATACGGCTTGTCGCTAGCTGTTCCGCTGGCAAAACAAGATGCACTGTGCAACACGCCTTTGTGAAAGGCCTTGGACGAAACTTTTACAAAACCATGTACAGGCTCCTACCTATTTACAAGCTTCAGTAAACAGCACACAAGGAACTGTGCTCCTCTTCCCGACATAAATCTGACACCTTGCAAGAAAACGACTATGACTGCACACTAGTTATTGACGATTAACCACTTCACGCCGGGTAAATAATTCCCTTGAATTAAACGCACTTTTTAGTGATTTTGATATTCGTATTCACCATACTTTTATAGGAAAAAAACACCCAAGAAACGCATGTCATGTAATGGGAGTCAGAAGGCAATGAAACGTGGCCGGGCGCTTTAAAAAAACGCCATTGTTATGTTTATTATGGTGTTACATAACGGCTTCTTTATTCGCCCTCAGCCCTGCCAGGAACAACAAACAATGGGCGGGCTGGGCGAAGCGTTCGTCGGCCAGGCTGGCCTCACAATTGGAGGATTACAGCCTATGGTGACTCATAGCAGTCAGTCCGGTCCCCACATGAGGGTGCCCGGCTGTGTGGATCAGAAGAATGTGGGCCATATGGGGTCAACCGGCGCCAAGTGGTTAACCTCAAAAACCTACGACTGAAAGTGTGATATTATGCTGTGGCAGAGATCTGTGATGAGTACAGATCCAGCATTCATCCAGTTTGCAGTTGATTTGCTGTTTTATGCATCCATGTCAACACAGGCTAACAGATAATATAGACAATAACCCTGAAAGCTTTCAAGTATTTTGGCAAGAAAATCCTGGACAGGAGGTGCCATGCAACAGAGCATCAAACTGCGATGCCTGCTCAGTGTACCAAGATCAAACGAGCCAAGCGTGAAAAAAAAAATGTATAAATCAGCTCAACAATAGACCTATGGAATGACTGAAAAGATTGAATGATTGGGTAAAAGGTTAATATCAGCCCAGTTCAAAGTAGAGCCAGTTCACACTCAGTGCAGCAGCGGACACGGACGTGAACTTGTGACGTCCAGTCAAATATAGCACCTGCGAAAACACAAAAGTTGAATGCGTTTCAACTTGGGCAGATTCCACTGCAAGAAATTGGTATCGGCCCGCTTTTTACATACAGCTCCAGTGAGCAAAGCTAATCAACTTCCGTTTGCACCTCATCCCTGATCTCTGCCACGAGAACACTATGAAACCCCCTCCCGTCCCATCTAAGCCACGCCTCTAGCCCCCTTCCTCCTCCCCCCCTCCTTCCCAGGGAGGCCTCTTACGAGGGCTCGCTGGGCGGCAGCTCCTTGATCTGCTTGATGAGGTACTCCTTCTCGTCGTTGAACTGTTCGTCCTCCGTCCGGTCGGTGTGGAATGCGGTCAGGAACTCCACCAGCCTGTCCCTGTTCTTTCTGAGTATGTTGAGGATGGGGAGCGTCTTGTTGGGGTTGGCTACAAAAACCTGCAAAATCCAAAGATGAAGAAGGTGGGGGGGGGGAAGGGAGAAAAGAATGAATGAGTTTAGAAAGGCAGGGCTGTCAAAGATAAGGACGATGCCACGTCGTAGCTCGGAGAATGATCCCTTTTTTTGATACTGTCTTCCCCAAAAGATCACTGGAACTCGAATCAGTTGATCGGAGTAAAAGCCACCATACTTTCCAGTACTGGCTGATTTGTGTTGCTCGGCAAAACCAAAGATAACTGCAAATAAAGGCTCACAGCTGCGGGGTGGCAAGAAACAAATCTCAACCGCTAATTTTCCCAACTTTTCTCATACTGGATTTCTATTTGGGATCTATTGAAAAAGCGTTCTTAACTACACAATTTGACTAGCCAAAGCACTTTCGGGATTCAGACCTGCTCGCATACTGACCTTGAAAACGTGAAAGGCCTCAAACTGTATATTTCTGCTTCTGTCTCGCAGCATGTTCATCATGAGTTTCAGGTTGTCGGGGTTGCTGATGTACTTGGTCATGATGGTAAAGTTGTGTCTGTCCAGAAGGAGCTCTCCAAGGAGCTGTCAAGATTGAGAGAAGACGAAAGGGGAGCTATTTAAAGCAAGATGCAGTTTTGTGCCCATCCACATGAAAACTCACAGCAGGTGCTCCATGAGATTAAAGGCACACTAGCAGGCATTGGCTGTGCACTGATCCGCGTGACATGTACAGTTGTGCCTATTCAGCTGAAAATAAGCAGCAGGTGCTCCCTTGTACCTACATCAGCATAATTCTTACCTGTTTAAGCTCTACAATAAATCTTCTTTTTTTTGTCTTCCATTAGCCATTTAAAGATCCTTCGAGTAGTCACAAAAAATTGTCTGCATTACATTATTCTCTACGTCTACCTTCAAGGACTGCCTCTTTGTGACGTAGTTTTCCGAATTCAGCAACTTTTGGTACTCCAAGAACACTCTGTCGTATTCCTTTTCCAAAAACTCTGCAGACAGCAACTTGTGTCTGGTTAACAGCTCCTGTTGTAACAAATGATCAACAACACTGTTAACAGCATTAACAGAAAGTGGGGACAAAATAAAGACAGGTCATTCTCACAACCGAACCTGCTCTGAGCAGCTTGCGATATTGGGTTATTCCCTCCTTTCAAATTCCTTTTCAAGACTGAGTTCTTCAAAAGGTCTTCCAAAACTTGCATAGATGGAGATTGTCTTATGCTAGGTAGATTCTTATAAACGAATGACATTTAGAAAATTAGTACAGACAACCGAGGAGTCTAACCGGGAGACGTTTTGTGCAAAATACGTAAGGCACTCGATTAGCTTTAAACCCTTCTTTACTTTGAATGTGGAGAAGGCGTCGGAGGCAATGTCAAACGTCATCGTCTCCACGTAACTGAAGAATGCGAAGAACCTTTCGTCTTTGAGGATGATCTTGGCCAGATCCTGATATCGGATGCTCTCTCGGAGCATGATGCCGCAGTTCAAGGCGATCTGCTGATGCTCGTACCTTTTCTCCCCAAAAATGGAGACAGAGAGAAAAAGACAACCACAGTCATACTCTCAATGTCGTGTCAAAACTCCCAAAAAGTACAAACTTAGATATTGTTAGATGTACAGCACATGCACGGGCAAGTTCGTTGATCGTTGGTCAATTTTGCTTGGTACCCAGGCTATGTTGTATGCACAAGTTACCAGGGAAAATCAACCAGCTGCAGACAACTGTTGACATTTTGTAAGAAAATTCGACCCTAGACGCAGGTTTCACTCTCTTACTCCAGAGGTGAACATTATTCTATCTTTCCTCTCGGAAAGTTTTTTCTGGCATTTGAGCACGTGTTAACGTTTCCTTTCTCCCACCAAGCTAAAAAAAAAAAACACATTATTCCCTCCATTACCTGGAGCCCATTTCATAGAGGTACTGCGCATGGAAAGCTAAAGCCAGCATGGGTTACCAGCGGAAACTGCCGTGCAATGTACATGTACACTCCCTCGCGACTGGTACCCGGCCAATATCTGCTCAGCACTCAAAGCTGCTGAGCAGCATATACCATTAGGCGGGCCTACCAAAGCAGGACTCGGTGACTGAAGGGCACTCCCCTCGTTTCTGCCCCTCTCTCTCTCTCTCTCTCTCTCTCTCACCCTTTGCAAAGAACGAAGAGTATGTCCTTTTTGGAGACGATGTAATCCACTGCTGGTGAGCGGCTCCCTATCTGGCGCCGAAGCACGTTGCTGTAGATTTGAGCCACCTCCTTCCTGGTCTGGAGATGGAAGGGGGACAGAGAACAACATATACTGACAAGAGGATCGTCCAACAAGTTTAGTATTTTGCTGAGCCGGGTTCCCACTGGGCTTTCTTCTCTGTTTCCCCACGGAAATTTATCCAGCCTCCCTATAGCACCAATCTTCACGTCCATTTTCCAGTTGGGACTTTTTCTTTAGACCAAAGGCAGAATGTGAATCTGCCCTGCTCATTTAACCAAACGTTACACTCTCGTAGTTCCCCCCCAACAGAACTCGGGTGAGAACACGGCTCAAATCTGCTAAGTGACCAAGTACGCTAAAATCAAGGCGTAGTGCCACAGGGTGCCGTGGAGGGTGGGGCCGACTTCACTGCCACACAAGAGCTCAAGGCCAACAACACTTGGAATATTCAATCAATTTTGCGGTGGAGCAGACTGAGAAAACTTCTAAAGTAGATCTAATGACAATGAGGGGGAGACTGATCCTCGTAGAAATCCTCCAGCTTTTTCCCCTCTCCCACCGTACCTCAAAATCTAGATGCTGGAGGTTGCGGACGAGGTCCTCAATGAGGTACCAATTAAAGATGGACTGCGCCAGCTGGCTGACCAAATCTGCTTGGGGCTCTTGGTCCCCAACTCCGTACAGTATGTTCTTCATTCCTGTCAGACTCTTGGCAAGATCTTCCTGCGCCTAGACCGAGAACAAAAAAAAAATCTAGTTTTGCCCCCAAATCTATGACTTCCACTGAAATGTACAATTCAAATAAGAATGCTAGGGCACAAGCGCTGGGCCCCATCAGTCGATCTTTAAGCAATCGGTTGACCAGCCTGAACGACTTGTTGGTGGCTCTGCCATCAATCAATGGCCTTCTCTTCACAATCTGTGCTTGTGGAGGATTGGTTTAAGAGGAAGTGCCGTAAAATCAGAGATTTCAGAGGTGCCCAGTGCTATTGCATGACCGTACTGAGTGACCGATCATGCCCAACATAAGAACTCAATTACATCCAACAAGACATGCCTTTTGACCTGACCGTCAAAGATTGAAACGAAATTCAGTGTGCTGATTGGATTCCTAGAGAAACCCTCAAAACTAAAATTTAACGTCAATCGGTCAATCAGTTTTTGAGGTATAGGTCAACGAACTATTGACTAATCAGGTAGGCCGGCTTTGTTTGGAGAGCCATGTCTCCTGAAGTAAAGCATCCACAGAGATGCAATTTACATAATTTTAAAGCTCTTGAAATGGCCTTCATTTCTAAAATAAATCAAAGCTATCCCAAGTATTACAGGAAAATTATGCAAATGCATGACCTTTGACCTTGATTTGCAAAAACGCATACTTTTCAAAACATGTAATGTTTTTCAGTAGTTAGCTTAAGATGTAACCAGCATTTCTTGAAAGAAGACTAGTGTCCAGAACACAGACTAGTTACGGAGTTTATTGAAATCTGGTGACAGTGTACTTGCATTGTCCATTCAAAGCAGAAACTAGCTTCACAGCTGTTGTAACAAGCTTCATAAATATCAAATATTTTGCGACAAAGCAGCGGGTGGAAAACACTCGCTTCTGAACAGGTCTTTAAAAATTCTACTAACGGGGGTGGATGGTGCACGGGCAGTGTGGTTGGGGGGTTACCTACCTTTTCGGCCTTCTTCCCTTCCTGGGTCTTGTTGATGACAGCCAGGGCATCGCTGGCAATCTTGGCCAGTTCCTCAGGCGTCTTGGTGGACTTCCCAAACAGCGGCATATCTGGTCAGTGGTCACTCACCGTAAGGCAACCTCCGATGCAACCTTTCCCGGGGGATGAAGGACTGGAGAAGACACGGATGGGGCAGGAAGACAAGAATGGGTCGGAGGGAGAGCTTCGACCGGCTGGTTGAACGCTAGCTTCCAACTGGGCCGACGGCCGATCACACGGGGATTTTCATAGGTTGACTTGACTGCGTAAAAAAGAAACGAGCATTTCCTGACCTAAAATTGCAAAGTGCAAAAAAATCTCTATGGCAGAATTTTTGCTATCCCAGAGGCATGAGCTTTCTTCACAAAAAGTACACAAAACATAAAAATCTGTAGCATCTGCAGTCAATATTGGATACTAGAAAAAATTCCTGGCTTAAAACCCTGTGTCGAGCAAACTGAACAATTGGTGCCTGTCGCAATGTGGTCCATGGCTTTTTTACGCCCAACGCAACAACTGGTGCCCAGTGTAAAGCCAAAAATCCTGTTTGCCCCAGAGGGTATAAATATACCTGAATTGGATATTTACATTGGCAAATTAATAAATGGGGTTAAAAAGTCTTTGCGCCATTGATGCATTTGAAATATACAGTCACACAAACTCTCACTGATAAACAGTGCTTCGTTGAGTACATGACCGCCAACAGACTTGTTCACTAATTGATTCAAATTTATGTCCACCTTGTGCACTTGAAACGAAAGATGTTTTGAAGCTTTTTTGTATTCCAAAAATCCCTCTTCCACCAGAAAGCATTTATAACCCTGGGGTTCTGGGGTTACGCATGATGATGATGTAGGTCTACAGAATGTGCAACATTGTACTCTTTTATTTTACCAGGGAAAAGCCAATCGGCAACTGTTCTCAAGTTTGCGAGCCTTATCACCAACACCACGAGTGATTTTGCACAGTGGTGGTAGACAGGAACTTAGGGAGAAAAAGGGGCAATATTTGCTCCCACAATGCCTTCCTAGTTCTACCATTGTGAAAATCGTCCATGGTAGTGTGAAAGCAATGGGCCCTAAGGCTTACTGGCAGGAGACAATGAAGAAAATGCGAGTCAAAATAGGGCCCACACATGGATGCTTTTCAAACTTGAACATATGCACCCTTGATCTGAGGTACTTCCAGAAACGGTGAGGCACACACAACCCCAGGTGTATGGAGGTTGTGTGGCAAGCTAGATCCACTCTATGAGCTCAAGACATGCATGACATGGCAGATGACGGATCTCCCTAGCCGGTTAATGTAACGCTAACGGTTAGCATCGTTAGAGAAAGAGTTCCATACATAGACACCACTCGAAGTCGACACCCTGTGTACAAACCTATGAGACTGGTCAGAAAAATCGTTTTATACAGTGTTTTCTGACTAAGTAAACGGCTTGGTATTTTCCCTTCTAAGTTGAACTTTTCTGGACATGTTTTTGCTTTCTGGTGGCTGATAGGTCACTGTAGGGAACAATTACTGGCGTCCGTACATGGAACTCTTTCCGTTTCAACTAATTCAAAACGTGCCGTACCAAAGTGCCAGTACTCGGTGAGTGTCGACACGCTGGCGCCGATTTCTTGGTCGACGGTCCGGTCCTTCGACCTTTATACTAATGGACGAGCAATAGGGGGCGCTAGACCGTAATAGCGGAGTTCCAATGTTTTATCTTCGCAAAACACACTGGCCAGCGTATGGTATGCTCGCATGAAGTACCGGCCATAACCTACTCAAATTGAGAGCAAAATACATATATATTTGTCGAATAAATGCATAAAGTAGTAATTTGAATACACTTGAATTGTCCCAAAACAAACTGTTCAAGAAACTAAGTTTGGTATCATCACTTAGGAATAACCGTTGAATTTTACTGTTGACATCATGTCATGTGTACATGTACGTACATGTATCTGCTAGATGTCAGCTGTAACGATTTGTCGCCCTCTGTTGTTTGCTGACAGGTATTTTTGTTGCACAAAGCTCTTTTGTCTGAAAAATAGTTGGTGGTTCGGTTCAAATATTGTTGCTGGTTTAAAAGTAGCCAGTGGTTTTAAAAGCAGCTGACGGTTTAAAAGCACGTGAAACTGGTTACCTAATGGCAGCCAGCCGTTCAAATGCACCTGGTGGTGTAGAAATACATAGCTCTTGATTCAAGAAGTAGCTTGTGGTTTAAAACAAGCAGGTGGTTTAAAAGAATAATCTAAAGGTATCCGGCGGTTTAATTGTAGCTGGCGGTTTCAAAATAGCTGTTGGCTCAAGAAGTAGCTTGTGGTTTAAAACAAGCAGGTGGTTTAAAAGTAGCTGATTATCTAAAGGTAGCCAGCGGTTTGAATAGTGGTTCAAAAGTTGCTGGTGGTTGTAAACTGTTGAAGAGGCTGCTTTAGCTGGTGGTTTAACTGGTACTCTGAAAGTAGCTGGTGGCTTAGGAGTACCAGGTGCTCTGAAGTATTCGTGCAAGTATAACACAGAAGCTTTCATTTTTGACAATTTGCAAAATAAATTTTGCTCGTAGGCCAACACAAAATGAAAAGTATGACCACTGAAAACTTGAAATTGTTCTGAATGGGTAACTTCATAGTGTATTCCTTTATGATTTAAAAACGGAAACAAATTTGATAACTACACATTTCTTGATATTAAGAAACCTGTTAAATAAGTAAATACAACGGTCAAACAAAATAAAATATACATAATATGGGAACAGTGACATCTTTTCTGGAGTTATGTACACATTTAGAAAGACTAAAATTAAGACTGGCAATTCACAATAGAGCGCCTCCAAGAGTTCAGACAAAATCTGTCGACCCTTTTCCAAACGCGTGCACACTGGGCCGACAGATTTTGCACATCGTGATTGGCCAAGGCATTGCAAACTCTTGGAGGCCCACTATTGTGAAACGCCCGTACTGTATAAAACAAACGGAATAAATCACGCTAGTGTGACAAGGGTCTGCCTTTACCAAAGGGGCTTTCGAACTACAGTCAACTTAGAAACCCTAAGTGGTTGAATGGTAGAGATGCCTGCACTCCAAAGCAAAGTGGAATGGGTTCGAATCACACCCAAGGCATACGCAATTTTTTTTTTCTCTTACTTTCCATCCACAAACAAAAAGGCAGCATGCAGCTAAAAAGCGGGCATTAATGAGAGACCTCCAGCCAAATTCATTCAGAATTACAAATAGTCAAACTCTTTAAACCCCAAAGAAATTTCTGATGTTTGCTTTTCACTCCACGGCCCAATCATCTCGTTTGCCTTGGGCTAAATCTCCCTTCATTTTTCAGAATTGTAGAGTTCTGAAACAGTTAAGTGTTTCAAAGCATTTTTGCTGCACATGAACCAAGTTACTTCACCAGTTCTTGACAAAACCACACAGAAAGGAGCTTTGGAACTTCAAAGTTTGACAGATTTTATCTGGAGTTCCATTTCCAATCATGCAACATTTCCAATTTCACCCAATTCTAAAGTAAATTTTCTCAGTGAGAGAGGTACTTTATGGCACACAAGGAACAGGGCAACCTCTGCCCCTGTTTTCACCCATTTTGATCGTGAGGTTCACAGACGTGGCTGCAGCCGGGGAGTTCATCTTGGCGTAGCCCGTTTGGCGCAAGTACCTGTGAGTGGCTATGTAGTTGTCCAGTGATCGTGCTCGGTTTGAGCAGACCACTCGGTACATGGCACCTTGCTAGACGTTCCGTCAGCGGGACGCGATGCACAAAAGAGAAGATGTTGAGGACGTAACTGAAAAAACAACTTCGGATATTTTTTTTCCGCCTTACATAGTAAAGAGCATACATACTACACCCATGACTATTTCACAGGACTCTGCATGTCTGTTGGTTTACACACAACACACCAAGTAATCAGAAATTTTCTTCTGAATATGATGATCTCTGGGTACTCTTATGTAACCCATAAAGCCTCGTAAGTAAATAATTCATGAAGACTGGTCAATCTACTCTCTCTTTCCCTTTAGAAGTAACTGAATTTCTTGGTTCCAAATAAGTTGTGTTTCTTTTTTCTGAGCATTAAATGTACAATATATTGCATTGTAAAGAGATTCTTAAAATCAATCATTTTCTTTCACTTCAAAACCAAGCAACCATCAGAGCTTTTGCAATTCTGACACATCTAAATATTGAGGTGATGAATTGTATTATCTTTCAACGGAAAACGAGGAATTTCATTATTAACATGAACATCGTGAAATTTGAAATTTGCTTGTGGGAAGAAGAAGAGTATCGGGACTCTCCCAGGGGAAATCCACCTCTGTCAGTACAAATGGCAATGACCGCCAGCCTCAAGTGAACTTTGACCTTAGTCCACATCTGACGTGCCGTACATGTCACCATCAAGACCAGACTTCAACAGATTTCGTGCACTGTGAATCAAGTTTTTAACTGTCAAAAAACTCTGTGCAAAACGAATCAGGTATTCGGCTTGCTGCATGTCACAGTCAAAGGTCAAAGGTGACCTGTCACGACATAATGAGAGTAAAGTCGCATCTCGATCTTTCCCATTTCGATGGTTCAAAGTCATATTGAAGAGGAGGTCAGTTTTTGGGTCTTGTAATATTTGGAAAGAGTTAACCGTCTCTCATTTAATTCCAAATATTTCACAGAATCACATAGTTTAAAATGTCATTTTGTCAGCAATTTTGACGATTTTGAGTATTATTCGTGCCTGGTGTGAAATGTTGAAACAATGTCAGGACCAAAGACGCAAAGCTGCCAGAATAATGCCACACTGTCACCTTATACTTCTACCCCGAGTGTTCCATGTACGTGTACATGCCATTGGAAAGCTCTTTTTCTGCTGAATTCAAAAATACCAATATCTCAGTTTTTTTTAAAATTCCAACTTTCAGCTCATTTTGTGGTGACAGGTCACATATCTGCATCAAACCAACAAATACAACCTGACAGATAAAACATAACTGATGGACAGTGTGGTATGGAAAAGGAATTGAAAAAAAAAAATTTAATGAAATTGGTGATCCAGGCCATTTGCCTTAGTTATAAAAAAAATTTTATCGACTATTTATTTCACAACTTAAAACATAATATATAGTATGAATTTTTCCAATTATTTCAATACTGCAATTTTCTCTTTGACTTTTTACTGTGTTTTTCCTTTAATATATTTATTATCGTCCCCTGTGAGGGTGGCTTTAAAATAAGATATTTGATTCAGCGAGCATTGAATATTTTTTTTCTACGCGTGGATTGGAGTGACTGGCAAAAAAATGATGAGATGTAAATCATTAAAAGCCACCCTAAATATCTACACAAAATTCAGGATCTTTTTTTTCGGCTCAACGGGGAAGTTTAGCCTCCATGTATTCTAGTGAGAATCGTGGGACTGCTAGTGGTAGACTTTTATGCGGAAAATGTCAGCATGATGATCTTTTCCCCCTCTTCCACTGCCGCAGGGTCAATGAAGTGTTTGTCCACAGGGGCTGCAGAGTGCCCACTTAGTGCCCACCAAGACGGCGTTGGCACAGTGTTCACCTGGTGTAAGCACGGTGTTGGAATAGTGCTCACACGGTGTCGCCAAAGTGTTCACAAAGTGTTCAGTGAATAAAGGTGAGCAGAAAAGGTCAGTCACGCTACATTCAGCATTTCTGCCGGTTTGGCCTCGGCCTCAAGTACCAGCTACAACATCACGAGCCAATGGCTGAGGTCTTCCCACAGAACACCACTTTAAAATTTCAAGCCATAGCCACTGCTTTTTATCAGGTGTGAATAAGACTTGGGTGAGGATTATGGAACAGAAGACGGAGCCACAGTTCTGGCAAGAGCCAAGATTAGATATCTAAATTTCGCTCTGCTGCAAAAGGCAACCGGATACAACGGCACACTGTCACTGAAGCCAACCTGTGCAACCAAAAGAGGCAGAGAAGTCTCACACATGCTTTTGTGCAAGGTCACGGACGTCACTTACAGCAAACCACAGACTCTGGCCTATTTACAAGCTTCAGAAACAGCACAGTCGGATAGGTGCTCGTCATTGAAGACATAAAAATCTACATCTTGGATGTCCAGGAAGCATACTACAACTGCGATTACACTAGTAATCTAAGGGGTCAACGTTACACTATGGCTATGTACTGTCTGAACTGTGTGATCTTACAACGTAGCAGAGATCTACGATAATGATTCTAGTACTCGTCTGTTTTGGAGTTGTTTTTCTGCTTTATGCATACGTGCCAACAGTGCATCAGTAACATCTGTGCTATAACAGTGCATCAGATTGAGAAGCCTTCTCAATGTACCAAGATTTAGCAAGTCAACTGTGGGAAAACTGTAACCAACTGAAAACAATGATCAACTGACTGAGTGACCCCATAAAACCAGCTCAGTGCAAGAAGGGCCCATAAATTTCTACGCTCGTTACGCCCAGCTCCGTTGAGCATGAACATGGGCCATGAACCTCGGGTACCACATCAGCCCCCGATCTCTGCCACGTGCGCATCAACCTCCCCTCTCTTGCCCCCACAAGCCCTATTACGAGGGCTCGCTGGGCTGCAGCTCCTTGATCTGCTTGATGAGGTACGCCTTCTCGTCGTTGAACTGTTCGTCCTCCGTCCGGTCGGTGTGGAATGAGGTCAGGAATTCCACCAGCTTGGCCTTGTTCTTGTTGAGGATGTTTAGGATGGGGGGTGTCTTGTTGGGGTTGGCTACAAAAACCTGTGACAAATCCACCGGGGAAAAGAAACACAGATGAGGCCAGTTCGCAACTCAGAGTAGGATCCCTTATTAATCCCGTTTTCCCTGAAAAACCACTGAAAATCAGAACAGTCAAGTATTAAGGCTTTGCACGGTAGCCATCTTGCAGAGCAGTTCCTTTGTTCCACAGGGAAGCCTCCTTTGTGCATACACTGTGGAACAAAAGCACTTGCCTGCAAGATGGCAGCCACGCAAACTCTCTGTACATGTAAGCAAACTTACTCTCCACTATCTTATCTGGTTTGTGAGTTTGCAAAACTGAAAGATAAGTAACTACAAATGAAGGGGTTTTGAGGTTTGCAAAACTGAACCTTGACCTCAACCTTTTTTTCTACAGAGTAAAGATCTGAACTACCTTCCAGAATTCTCACGAAAGTATTTTGTCTCAAGTGGTGCAAAACACTACAGTGTCAGTCTAACGTACGTTTTGAAAAGTCGGCAAGTAAAAGAAATGTTTCTTTTTATAGAATCACACCATGAAACCCTGACTGCGGCATGATCTTCGGGGAAGTGGAATTGCCATAATGTTACCGAGGACTCCCCGCACCCTTACCTTGAAAACGTGAAAGGCCTCAAACTGTATATTTCTGCTTCTGTCTCGCAGCATGTTCATCATGAGTTTCAGGTTGTCGGAGTTGCTGATGTACTTGGTCATGATGGTAAAGTTGTGTCTGTCCAGAAGGAGCTCTCCAAGGAGCTGTCAGGATTGAGAGAAGGGGAAGTAAAGGAATTTGATGAAGAATGCGTTACTTCCTTCAAAATGGGAGCGACTATCGTATTCTGATTGCATGCACAGCCAGTCTCCAAAGAAGGGCTGCTTCACTTGGGCCCAATGTACCAGTCAGGAAGAGGAAGACCGGCCACATCGTAATGGCCCAGGTAAGGCAGGATCTGTGTAATGTTGAGTACAAAAGGCTTTACTGTGAACGGCTACAGTTGGTCAAGAGAATGACATCGGTGTCATACACGCAAAGACTGTAAACAGAGCCACCATTGCTGGTGTCCCCGTTTCTGTATACGAGGACTAGGCAGGTATGAGCCAGTGCTGCCAGTGTCCACATATCTGTTACCAAGAAATCTGCAGGTTTTATCCCCTCCTGCCGGTGTCCACATTTCGCTTAGTGAGGACACTGTACCCTTGAGCCACTCCTGCCGGTGTATACATTTCTCTCACTGAGGACCCTTCAGGTTTGTACACATTCAGCTGAAAAGCAACGGTAGGTGGTATCCCCGTGCATTCACACGTGCCAGGGTGGGCATTCCAGGCAAGGAATGAATGCCTAGCATGGTTGGCAAATTGAGGTTAGCACTTATCTCACTTGACTGTTTTGATCAAAACTCCTCTGTGTTTAGCTTATTAGCCAATGAAAGTTCCTCCAGAGAAAAAAAGTCAATCAAATTGATCTGACCACATCAAACATCATTTAGAACCCTTACCTTCAGCGACTGCCTTTTTGTGACGTAGTTTTCTGAATTCAGCAACTTTTGGTATTCTGAGAACACTCTATCGTATTTCTCCTCCAAAAACTGTGCACACAGAATCTTGTGTCTGGTTAGCAAGTCCTGTTGCAACAAACAGAGTGATATTCTTTTTTTTGAAGAAGTAATAAAAATCACAAAGTCAAATCATTCTTGCACTTGAAAATTGCTAGGAAACTTGCCAGAAAAGATTGCTTTTTTAAAAAACTCCTTCAAAACGAAGTTTAAGGGTCACTTGAAGATTACATGAATGGAGACTATCGCATGAATGGTGACTATTGCATAAATGGAGACTATTCCATGAATGGTGATTACTTTATAAATGGAGACTACTCTTAGTTTACGTTGGTTTTTCAAAAAAACGACTTCCCTACATTGCTAGTGCAGACAACCAAGAATATCAATGGACAGTTGCAATGATTTGATTTTGGAAAGGTAGACGCATTGTGTGAAATCTTTAAGGCACTCAATGGGTCCTCAAACCCGTCCTCACTTTGAATGTGGAAAAGGCGTCAGAGGCAATGTCAAACGTCGATGTCTCCACGTAGTTGAAGAATGAGAAGAAAGCGTCGTTGTAAAGGATGATCTTGGCCAGCTCCTGATATCGGATGCTGTCTCGGAGCATGATGCCGCAGTTCAAGGCGATCTGCTGGTTCTCGTACCTTTTGAATATGAAAAAATCATTATCTCGAATTATGCCCTATCTCTCCATAAAAAAACCCTAAACTTCTTTGCCACTACTATTGTCGACACAACTCCTCGACATTTCTGCAGAGACCCGTCCAGAATTGTCCCATATTCTTTCCTTTCCTGCATGCAGATACAATATTCTACACAACGTCTGGGGTCAATTTTCGTACAGGGTTCCCGGCACAGAAATCTGCTAAGCAAAGGAAGTCTTTGCTTAGCAGGAGCGGGTTACCCGCCAAAATGTCTTGCATTGTACATTCCTTGCGACTGGTGCCCAAGCTGATTTCTGCTCAGCCCGCAAACTTGCTAACTAGCACATTTGCTTCTCTCTCTCACCCTTGGCAGAGTTTGAGGAGTATGTCCGGCTTGGAAGCGATGTGATCCACTGTCGGCGAGCGTTCCCCGATCTGTCGCCGCAGCACGTTGTTGTAGATTTGAGCTGCGTCCTTCCTGGTCTAGAGATCGTAGGGACAGAGAACAACAAAAACTTTGTTAGAAAGAAACACTGTGTCTTAACTAGCTGCATTCCCCTGGCACTCTTTCGTCTATGTCCTTCTTGAGATTTCAAATAGCAAACTCTTCCAGCAGGTCTCACCGGCACTTGGAAAATCTTGTGTAGCATCACAGGCCAAATGTTAACCGAAACAAGTCAACCAAGAACACAGCTCTTGTCCATTAAGTGCCCAAGAGTACTGAAAAAAATGAACGAAATCAAGCCCAGGCATAGAGGTTGTGTTGTAGAGTACTACGAAGTGTGGAGCTGACCGCATTGCTAGTGTAATAGCCCCTGACCTAAAACCCTCTCGAAGTAATCAGTTAATTCTCTGGAGGAGTGGACTGACAGCTCTGCAGATCCAGGGAGAAATCTTTGAATTCTTCCCACAGTCTCAGCCAAGCACCCCCATCTTCTGTATCTTCCCCTCCTTCCTCCCCTGTTTACCTCAAAGTCCAGGTGTCGGAGGTTACTGACGAGATGCAGCAGTATTTCCTGATTAAAGATGGACTGCGCCAGCTGGCTGACCAACTCTCCTTGGGGCTCTTGGTCCCCGACTCCGTACAGGATGTTCTTCATTCCTGTCAGACTCTTGGAGATATCCTCCTGTGCCTTGACCGAGAACAAAACTTCACATGATACAAACACACGTGTCATCCCCCAATGGTCCATTTTACGTCTTCCAGTGAAATGTTCAGCTCCGGTGAGAAATTCGGAGCACAAGTATCTACTCGCAAATGACAAACAATAAAGAGCTGAAATAGGTATGTGACAGACAAGTTATGATGGACTGAGGGAAACCAGATGCTGGTGTGCTTGACGTGTTTATTCCCGGGCAGAAACTGGGTTCACCAACAGCATAACAGCTTTCATAATACATGACTTTATATGACAGAGCTACAAGCGGTAACTATCCGTGTTTACAGATTTAGTTTATTGTTTACTTTATGACAATTGGGTGGGGATTGCTGAATGGCTTTTTTTTGGGGGGGGGAGAGAGAGAGGGTTTACCAACCTTTTCAGCTTTCTTCCCTTCTTGGGTCTTGTTGATGACAGCCAGGGCATCGCCGGCTATCTTGGCCAGCTCCTGAGGCGTCTTGGTGGACTTCCCAAACAGCGGCATGTCTGGTCGGTGGTCACTCACCCAAGGTGACCTCTGAACCCTTTTCCCGCGGAACGGAGGGACCGCGGAAGACGGCGACAGGTGGGAAGACGGGAAAGGGTGGGAGGGAAGAGCCTGAACTGCCTGGTCACTCGCTAGCTCCCTGCTGGGCTGATGGCCGACTACTCGGGGGCCTGCACGAGTTGACTGCGAGAAAAGAAACAAGCACTGAGCTCAACTTGAATGTACAAAAACATGACCAGCAGAATTTTGTTTGCTCACAAAGATGCAAAACAAAACGACCTTTGTCTACATCTTCTGTCTCCTATTTCCGAAACTGGGAACAATTTGATGTGAACTGTCAAAATAAGATGCTGGCAAAATCCTGGCAGAAAAGCCATGTTCAAAGCACATCAGTCTTTAACCGTCTGCTGCAATGTGGTCCATGACCATTTTCTACCCACAGGATCAACCACATGCTACCCAGGCTAAAGCCAAGGGTTCTTTTATGCCCTAGAAGGTTTTAAAAACCCCATTTACACACACGTATACATATTACACACACATGTTTACGTTACATACCTACTGTGGACATTCCTTTCTTTTCGTGCAGTTAAGAAAACTCAGTGAAAATACTCATTTTTCTTCAACCAGGAACAAGATTTTTGGCTGTTTTTTGGACAAGGTTTCCTCGACTATTCCTCTTCCTTTTACTATGGATGACCCCTACCCCAAAACGCCTCTAAACCCCTTTTCCCGAGCGAGGGTAACCTTGTGTGGACATGTGCAAGTCCACACAACGCCATCGTACCCTACAACGCCATCGTACCCTGTATTATGAGGACTTCTTTTGTGCAGAGGTCGTCACTATGTATGACACACCTGTACACTGTAACCTCTTCTGGCACCCCTGCACCTTCATTTGTAGAGAACACAGGGCTTTACACAATGTGTGGTGCATACATGTATATACAAGTACATGTACATGTATACACCATATGCATAATACACGTACATGTACTTTATGTACATGTACAAGTGTCAGTGCGTATATGCATACAGTGCATTATGACTAGGGGTAATGTACATGTACACATGCACAGGTACATGTACACATCATAGTGTTCACAATCAGCTGACATACATGTACATGTATGGGGTAGCTCCACACGGCCAGGACACAAGTATTTCATAAAGTGATCCAATGGTAACACAAGCGACTTGTATACATTTGTAAAGGTCATGTGTAAAGGTCATGGCATTTATTTTACGGGGATCACTCGGCAAACCAAAATGGAGACCGTTACAAGATTATTGGTTACATTTACATGCCCTATTAAACTGGGCATTCCAAAGATGCCTCTCGCATACCTGAACTGAAATCTATAAATACACACGCATGTTAAGCTGCATTGGGTACATGAATAAATGGTCCAGAAATGTATGCACTTTACCTCTTCATCTTTGTATAGTTTCAGTGAATTTTTTACGAGCTTTCCTGTTGTGACAGAAATGATATCTTGAATTTCTTTAAGTTTTTGGCCTGTCTTGTTTCTGTTTTGTTTGTTCTGTTTCTTGCTTGTTTTTTTGATACTAGTTTTCAGCAAAAGAAAAGACAATGCATACATGTCGAATTGGAGTCCAAATGCAGGGAAATAGCTGTTCATTTTTATGGAACCCACGTAACAATTGACACTGTCAGAAATTGTGCCCCAACCTCACAGAATGGCCCACATAACAAGAGCACATTCACGACAGAGCTTCCAATTTCCAAGGTAAAATGTTTAACATGAGCGTGAACCTGACCAAAGTATTTTTTTTGTACTATACAGCAGCACACTACACATGGGCTGTTACATGTACATGTGACACATTTTGCCGCTTTGCCTAATTTTGAAAGTGAAGAGCTGTGGGCAGTTACATCATAAGTGTACAGCACCTGTGTCTAAAAACAAAACTGGAGTCTGTCTGATTTCAGTGTTTACTTCCTCGTGCAAACCGCAGGTTATAGAGAATATCTCGGCGGGCTGTGTGCCTGTGCCAAATACTTGTGAAGTGATAGGGTTGCAGTGTTAGAGCGTTCAGTGTCCCACCTCACTTCCACAGGAAAGCATAGATGTAAACCAAACCTGATGTCATTATGTTAAAGGTCTATTGAGACAAACTGTCACACAATCAGTGCTTAATTCGTGACCAGCAATAAAGCAGTATCAAACATGTCCACGCGTGTTCACGCTCACAAGTAACATGCACGCACAGACATTGACGACATATAAAATGCAAGGCAGAATACACCGGCTTCAACACCCATACTTGCGTTACATACCTACATGTAGTGTGGATATTCCTTTGTTTTCGTGCAGTTGAGAAAACTCAGTGAAAATACACATATTTTTCTTGAACTAGGAATGCGAGTTTCAGCTGAATTTTTGTAAAAGGTTTCCTGGACTGTTCCTCTTCCTTTTACGACAATGACCCTAACCCCAAAAGGCCCCAAAATGCCAACCTGTCTTTCAGAGAAGGGAGAAACCTTCTGTGGACGTGAGCAAGTCCACAGAAAATCTTCCCTTCCTGCATCATGTGGACATCTTTTGTTCACAAGTCCACGCTAGGTGGTACAGTAAGGTTTAATAGTGCACATTACTGATTGCTGTAGGACAAACACTGGACAGTACGGTATCTGCTGAAAAAAACAGTTGCCACTGTCTGATCATTTTTACACCACAACTATGACCTGGAAAGGAGTTGACCGCTAAGTCATTTTGATCAATTCAGGGTCCAAAAGTGATTGTTTATGTCCTTGTTACACCTGACCAGTGTAATTTGACATGGAAATAGCACTGAAAGTTACTTCAAACTATTTCCATTCATATAGCAGATAATTTGCATTAATTCATCACTCTTGGAAATTGCAAAATGTGTTTGGAATTTACAAAATCGTGTCAGCTGCGACAGGGACACCCAAAAATTGGACCCCTAATTTATAGAATGACCCAAATAACATGTGTGCACCAAAAAAATTACTTTTCAGCAATTTTGAAGGATTTTGGCCTGTGCAGTTTAACGCACATACACTGGGCTTGCCTCGCATCACTGTTTTGTCCGAAAATAAGCTTCATGTAGCTTTGTTCATGCTGTATCGGACAGCAGACATATTCAAAGGTTACGTGTCTTAAACGGCTTTATGCACTTTAACATGAAATATTCAGTCCTTCTCCTCCCCGGTTTTTTTTTTTTCCTTTTTGAATCAATGATTGTCTGAATCAATGTTTGTCTGTTTTTGGTGTCTCCGAATGCTATTTTGTGAAACCAACTCTTTTAGCTGAGTGGTTGTTATCAAGCGAGCACTCAAACCTTCTATGCAGCGACACGTACACATACATGTGTGCCCTTTTGTACTTGAAATTATGCACATGTGCTGGTACACCTAAAACTTCAGCAGTGGGTTCTTGGGGTCCACGCGCAAGTAGCAGGTACTTCCATGCTATCAATTTTTAGGCCTCTTGAGCTAGCAAGGCATCAGAAACCTATGTCTGGGTCGAGTCCCGCCTTTTTATTTTCACCTGTTCTTCACAGACAGTGAGATCCTAATTCAATTTCCCGTCTAAATCCCGGTCTGGTGTTTAATATCTGTGCCGATCATGACACTTCCTCGCTGCATCTTTTATGATGATGACCGTGATGTGCTCCGGGACATGTTCAGTATACACAGTGCCGCGACGGGAATAATTCCTTGGGGGGGAGGTTGAACGTTACTGCACAATGCAAGCATAGGGAATGAACTCATCTGAGGAATGCATGTCAGATGAATCATAGGGAACACAAAAGCCCTTGCTTCATTGGCCCGAAAGGAAAGTAATATGACACTGTACCCTCAATTTTCATCAGTATCACTTTGGTCGCTTCAATTTATTACCCCAACCTTTAAAGGTCTTTACCACGAGTGCATACATGCATATATCACATTGAGAGAAATTCATTTACTGTAACATCCAGGAAAGCTAACAATCAAACTATCGGCAGTTCAGCCTAGGGAATGTAATGTGGCACACTTCTTGTTGAGGTTTGTAGGAGTTTTGTTTGTTTGTGTTTGTTTTTATTTGTTGTTTGTACAATACTTGATTTGAATCGACCTTTACAGCTAGTTGAACACTGGACAGACTGCAGCCCTAGATCTAAAGGCTCTTTGCACTGTATTTCAAAACTGAGGGGTAAATTCAGGTTTCAAAACAGCTAGAGGAGTTGTTTCGGATTTCAAGTTGTTTAATAGGGAAAAAAATATACAAAAAACAATTTACGAAAATCACAAGATGACATCATCACGATGTCATCAATCTGGCAGAATTCTTATTTCAGGGTCTTTGTTAGCTGTAACTTTGATAACGATCGAACATCGCGAAGTTATCAAAATGGGGACTTCAAAACATGAACAAAGGTAATGATTCACAAGCAGATCCAGGTTAAGTACGGAACATGGAGGACCATACCCCAAGCCCCCTCCCCCTCCCTTTGTATTCCTGCATTTTATCACTGACTCCCTGATTATTTTTTTTGCCGGTGTGCCAAAATCTCTAACTGCCTCCACTGAACAATTGCACAGAGCCTACCGATAGCAATCCTCCAAAATCTTCCATTATTTTTTTGGCATGTGGTCCTTTGAAGGGTGACCATTGCCTCAATCCTTCAATATCCTCCAGCAATAATCGAACAGGGAGGATGATTTCAAGTATTGTCTGAGCCTAAATTTATGCATGGCTGATCAGCTGACTTTGTTGGGGGGGAGGCCTTCAGCTCAGCAAACTTCTTTTTCAAAATTTGGAGCAGGACAATATCCTACGACTCTTCAGAAATTTTGGTTCACAGTATCAACAATGTACCCGTCAAAACCAATTCCACTGACAATAGTAATTATGGATTTATCAAGTGATGTGAAACAGAAGCTATACATGTGACTGTGGAGGGGCCAAGTTCATGGGCAGATGTCTTGGGCATGTTGAACATCTCTTCGACCAACAGGGCATTAACCCTAACCCTCCTCAATCCTCCAACATCCTCCAGGCGGTTTAGGAGGATTTTGGAGGATTGACGAAGAACGGCAAAATTGCACGACTGATAGTAAAGGATGCATTGTCTCAAGGCTGTGGGCTAGACCTCGTGTTGTTTATGCTACCATCATGCATAAATTCATACCTACATTATGCGAATACTCCATATTACTCAAAAGATACCATTCGCACTGCATCAACATGACAGGAAGTACTGTAGGATTTTGAAGGATAGAGGGAGTGGGCACTCTTCAATGGAGCATATTAATTCAGGAAATATTGGAGGATTTTGGAAGATTCAGGCAGAATGCAATTTTTTTTCCACGGATAATCGGCTCCACGATATTGAAAGATTGGAGAAGGTGTCTACACGTAGCAAACATCCCCAGGGGGTTTTAAGATTAAACTTGTTGACATGTGCACACACAAATGTGCAACATACATACATGTGTACGTGTCTGTGGTGTTGTTACGTCCCGACAGGGCAACTTTGTCAACGGCCCCAAAACTCTGTCCACAAGCCACGACCAAATACTACGGTCTTGCCATTCCCTGTCCATGACCCACTCAGGCCTTGCCAAACTCAGTCCACAAACATGACAAAGCCAGACGTGCC